TTACGGAAAAACAGTTTAACGAGGACCAATACTGCACAATCCGGATGGGTGATTGGTCAAAGTAGTCACCCATTCGCTCACTGACCACAGATAGTGATAATTGACTTCGGTGATCTACTAGGAGTCGCGACTTACGATCAGTCAACTATGGGACTTTTTAAAAAGAAGAACATAGCATATTATACAATACTACAATATCAACCAAATAAGAGCAAATCGTGGTAACACTTCTTTCTGTCTTCGTATTAAATACTTAACGTACATGAAACCGGACTGACTTTACATGTCGTACTTTACAGACTAACATGATGTTGTTGTTGTAGTAGTTAATTTACGTCACACTAGAGCTGCACAATGGGCTATTGGTGACGGTCTGGGAAACATCCCTCAGGATGATCCGAAGACATGCCATCACAATTTTGATCCTCTGCAGAGGGGATGGCACCCCCGCTTCAGTAGCCCGACGCCCTGCACGCGAAGTTGAGCACTTTACGGTAGAACCGTTCAACGAGGACCAATACCGCACATCCTCGGTCCCTATGCAGACTGATCCAAGTGGTCACCCACTGACTGCAGTCAGTGATGCTTGACTTCGGTGATCTGCTGGGAACCGTGTCTTAACGATCAGTCCACCGCAGGGCCAGACTTACATGAACAAAAATGACTTTTACAGATATGAAACCGGCGAGGACATGTAAGTGAGGACATAGTGATACAAATTACAGCTTTTAGAGTGTATAATCGAAGCTCCACTCGAGCCGTGGAAGGCGAATAAGCAAGCACACATACAGATTATAAAATCAGCAAAAACATGTACAATCCAGCCTTTAGCCCCGGGAATTAAACCCTCAACCCCAGCTGTGGAATTCGAAGACTTTACCCATCATATGAAACCTGCGAGACATGCATAATCTGATCAAACATCTAACAATCACGAGGAATCCAATCTCAGTTCTGATCGTGGAAGTTGAACATTAGAACACTCAACACACCACACCGGCAACGACATGTCAAACTAAGCAGACAATGTCTTTAAGGCAGGGAACGCCAACATTAACGATTCTCTACAATGGGCTAATTATTGCCAACTTCACATTTTTTCTATAACCTTTTTTGCTATAAGCTGGTGGGCTAACGGACATTTTTGGTGAACTAACGATTTCTTATTAGGGGCTAACGTTAAGTGAAAAAATTCGAATTTGCGATTTCTTGTTTGTGTTTTGACAATAACTGTTTTGGTAGTGGGTGAATGATTTCCTAAAATGGGCTAACGTTTGGAGGTACAACTCCAACTTGTGGTTGCCAGCTTCACATAGCTGCAAACAATAAACTGACCGTAAATACCCACTGATCAGGCTCGCTCCCGAGGTTGTGGCGAGCTGGACTGGTAGCTAGACGTGGACTATTCGGGTAAGGGTTTTGCAAACCTAGGTACGTTGCCACATCTGCAAGGAAAAAAAAGTTCCTTTGCCGTTAGGCTAACAGTGGGAGGTTTTCCTTTCCATGTAATGCAAATGCGGGTTAGTTCCATCAAAATATCTCCCAATACTTAATCCAGGAGTTCCCTTGTCTTCTGGATTGGGTTCAAAATTACAAGGCTACGAAGTTGAGCATTGGTAGTCAATTTCAATTTTTGCAAATTTCGCCATATCTCGGTAAGTTTTTAAGCAAATCAAAAAATTTTTTGTATCCTATTATAAAATTAATTTTTATTAAAGGATAATTCCAGGTAAAATATACTTTTCAAATTTCAAAGGAAGCTCTTTAGTTAACTGTGTTAAAATAAAAACTCAAGTCATTTCTGGAATGGGCTTACCCACTTTACCTCAAGAGGAGGGCATAAGACTTTAAAGAATGTTATGATATAATTATTTAACTCTAATTGTAAAATAAAATTGCAATTTCTTGTATAGGTAGCTGAATCAGCAACAATGTTAGGATGTAAACACTCTCAGTTAACAGTTTCATAATTTTTTGAAATATACCATCAAGTAGTCTAGGAAGATCTTGCATTCTTGGACATAAAATTGCACTTATTAATCAAAACAATTGGACACATAATTGCACTTGTTATTAATCAAAATTTTTTTTTTGACTGATTCTGGCTCCTAGATCTTAAAATATGGGTTTTAGCATTCCCTCAATGACATTTTCAGTTTTCTTCTTTATCTAATTGTGCAATTTAAAAAAAAAATTTCATACTTTTAGAGTTAATTTTTTTAAAAGAAAATTATTTACTTTCATTTAAATTAAAAATGAATTGATATATTTTGAATTAAAAGGTGTAAAATTGTTTTATTGTTGTTGTTAATTTGCGTTGCGCTAGAGCTGCACAATGGGCTATTGGCGACGGTCTGGGAAACATCCTGCAGGATGATCCGAAGACATGCCATCACAATTTTGATCCTCTGCGGAGGGGATGACACCCCCTCTTCGGTAGCCCGACGACCTGCGCGCGAAGTCGAGCACTTTACGGTAGAACAGTTTAACGAGGACCAATACCGCACACCCTCGGTCCCTACGCAGACTGATCCAAGTGGTCACCCACCCGCACACTGACCGTAGCCAGTGATGCTTGACTTCGGTGATCTGCTGGGAACCGTGTCTTAACGATCAATCCACTGCGGGACTAAAATTGTTTTACACCATGTTCCATGGGTGTCACAGGGTCCAATTTTTGAGAGGGTTGAAATTAAAGCCACAGTTACTTTCTAAATTTTAAACATAAGGAAAAAATTCTTATGAAAAATTAAGAGAAAAAATTCTTATGTCTGCTAAATATTTGCAAAGATTGTGTGCGTGTGATTATTTTTATCACTTTCCTGATTTTAACTTTCAAGCATTCGCTGGTGATTCATAAAAATTTCTTTACATTGTTTGAGATATTGAGTGGGACTTTCAGAGATGTCTAATTATTGAAGGGAACATATACCCACTGTCCCCCATGCCATGTTCAATTCATGTTCCATTATCATGCAATAATTTTAAACAACAAAATTTAGAATAATTTTTTCAAAAACAAACTGTTTGAAATTTTTATACAGTAACTATTCAATGGATTTCATTCAGAAATTTGCAATTAATCACATAAAATGAAAAATTTTCAAAACCTTACAGTTCAATTTTTCTTCATAATGTTGCAATTCCATGCCACTTGTCCTGGGTTTTACCCTCAGACAGGGCAAGGTTGACTCAGCCTTTCCTTCCTTCAGTGGGTAGATTATATGAGTACCAAGCATGCTTTGGGATTAAACACTGGGAATGCCGCATTGGAATGACCACCCAGCGTGCATACCAGAGCCCAAGGTCATAAAAACTGAGATGGGCACAGTTAGGCCTTGGCCCTCCATCAGCTGTTGTGACACTGAGCTTAGTTTTAATATAATAATATTAAAGATAAATAGGCAATAGAATGTTTCTACATGGAATTGCAATTATATCCTGATTAATGTGTTGTTAAAAATGATAGATGTAAAAGTTGAAATAGAAAAAGGTTTAATCAGAAAAACTAAAATTCCATGACAAAACACAATTGTACAATTAAATTTAAAGTTATTGAGATCAATTAAGTTTTTATTTGCGGACTCTGCATATATTCAACTAAAGAATAGAATATGCATAAATTCTTAAAAATTATAAAAATGCAACACATATTTTTTGTTATGCATGTAGCTAACCATTAAATAAGTTGGTATTTTCACTCATTTTAGGACAACATATTTTAAAGTATGATTTTTTCATTATTTTTCTCTCACATAAATGTTATTTTTACCCAATATCATAAAACTGTTTTTGCTACATTTTATTATTATTTTTTACAAACCTGTTCTATTTTCGCACTACATAAAATTTCCATCACAACATTACATTACTTATCACAAAATTAATAATTGAAGTACGATACACAACAAATATTTTATTATAAGAAATAAGCAAATATATATAAAACCATGTTCAGTATGTAAAAAAAGGACCACCCTGAATAACTTTTGATCTAATCATTGGATCTTCACATTCCAAGGATCAATCTTCAGAGTTTGAGAGGGTGACCTAAAATATGCTCATTAATAGGTGCAGATGACATATTAAGTTACAAAATTAGACACATAAACAAATTTTCTCTTATAAACAACCTTTCTTTCGACAGATTCAAATTTCTGACCCCCAATAAATCAAAATATCTGCAATCTGGGAAATATGGTCATAATATTGTTAGGAGAGCGCCATAAAGTTTGAACCTCTTAATGATGTTAATTTTACTTTGCGCGTATTTCGTTATATCTTGAGACCTTTTTAAGCGAATTGAAAATTTCTGCACAATTATAAAATTCATTTATCCAAAGATAATTCTGTTATGTAGAACAAAACTTTTAGTAAATATTTATTATTTTACGACCAAAAATTTTTGAATTGTAAAGCATACAATTTTTTGCATCATTTTAAAAAATATATTTTACATGACAAAATACAAAATTTGAGCAAAATTGGTTGAATATTTCCCAATAAATTGAATTTCAAAAATTTCAGATACTTAAAATTTGATTTTTCAGGAATTACTCAATCAATTTTGTTTAAATTTTGTATTTTACCATGCTAAATTACTTACTTTAAAATGATGTAAAAAATTGTTTATCTTACAATTAAAAATTTTTTCGACTTTTATTTAATTAAATAATAAATATTTACTAAAAGCCCTTTCCTGACCAAACTATTGAGATCATATTCCCGAGATTGTGACTACCCCCTAAATTTTGGGGGCCAAAAATCCAAATATGTTCAAAAAGTAGGTATGTTTATTCAGAGAAAGTATGTTTTTGTTTCGGATTTCATAACTTAAAATATCGCTTGCACTTATTAATTAGGATATTAGAGGTTACCCCATCGAGTTAATAAGATTGATTCCTAAAAAGCAAAGATCCCATCATTAGACCGAAAGTTATCAGGGAGATATGTTTTTTTTGGTGCATTACGATAAACAAGCTTCCAATTTTTTTCTTTGCTTTTACATTATAATTACAAAATACACAAGAAATGAACTTTAAGTTATTAATGTTTAAAACCACATCAGGATTATACATAGTAATAGATAAATATTATTTAACTTAGAAAACAGAAAAATTTAAGTTTGAATAATTATAACCGTGCCCACAACTAGGAAAAGTTTAAAAATTGTTAGAGAATGATTGTAGATACATTAACTAATTTCTATCTACCAAAATATGCTTGCAAATTAAAGGAAACCTATCTCAACATTATAACTGTCCAACTTATTCCTTAAAATTGAACTAAAATCTTTAAAATTTCCAACAGCTTAATGAACAATTTTTAAATTTTCCCTGGTTGTAGCCATCGTGATAATGTATTATAAAAATGATTTAAATTGTTAAAGGATACTTTCAATGAGGAACAGAAAACCGTAATTACAAATATGGAATTAATTTGTTAATATAACTATTATAGACGAAAATATGGATATTTATGATATATCAAAAAAGCTATTGTTAAAATGTAGTTTTAATAAGTAACATTAAATAACATGAAAAATAAATTACAATACAGAATAAAAAAGCAAGGTATATTTTTTAAATGTTTTTTTTTTCAATTTATATTGAACATAAATACACTTTTGATAGTCAAAACAGGTAGTGATCCCAACTAGTTTGTAATAGTAAAGTTTTACTGAATAGAAATGCTAACATGAAAACCTAAAATAGCATCATGAAAATTTAGATGATCTTCTAAAAAGAATTCAATTCTTCAAGAATTAAATTTACATTAGAATATCATTATTATGTAAGGTAAAAGGCAACATCACTGTTGTACTGATTAGAATGACAGATGATAAGAATCTCCGCTGAAGTTAGCACTGGAAAATAACTAATTTGGTAAGTCAAAAATATTAGTCTAAATAGTATCCTCTGATAATAAAATTAGCTTGTAAGGTGGAAAAAATCTAAAGAAATGTAGAAAACATAAATACATAAGAATACATAATGAATGGTAATAATAGATTATGTTCAACTTGCAAGATATTGCTATAAACTAACTTTAAAACTGCTCACTTCACAATGAAAAATTAATATATATATATATATATAAACATGTACATACGAGCATTATAAATCGAAATTGGTAAACAATGGCCCAGCATCTTAAAACCATTTCTCATTCTAGATATCTAATGAAAAGGGCAGGGCACAAGAAACCACACAGGGCATTATATTCTAAAAACAGAAATGGGCATTGTATTTCATAAACGGGAGTGGTTATTGAAAAATCAAGGCTATTAACTTTGTAGTTAAAAAAATTCTAATTTTTAAGCAAAAAAAGTTCAACTTAAAAGAAAGTAAGAACTGTCATAAAGTTGTGCCATTTAAGTATTAAAAAAAATGTGAGAACAGCACTCAAACAAGTCAAAAAGTAATTTCTCAAATTCGAAAATTGGGTGTCGTAATAATATTGTATTTAAATATCGGAAATTGAAAAATCATTTATTAGAAAATTAAATGGATTTCAATAGAATTATCAAGAATGGTCAAAAGGTGATTCTCCGATCTCAAACTTTTGACTTTGAAAACTGCGAAGGGAGACTGTAAACTGAAATGGAAGGACAAACGATTAGAAAATAAAGCAGATTCATGATGGAATCATCTTGAATCCAGTGAGCAAAAAAGCAATAACTGAACATTGAACTGTGTGTTGTATAATGACATGCAATTGGTTGAAAAAGAAAAGAAAATTCTTAGTTCCCATAACAAAATATAGGAAAAAAAGTCTGCTTTATTACCTATACGATATATACAAGCATGCATCAATTACTATTGCCAGAGTATAGCTAGACTTGGCACGATTTGTTTGATGACTAGTTTGAGAGCATTTTTTTTAAATAATTGTTTTTCTTTCCATAAAATTAGTCACTGGTTTTCTAAAAATAAATTTTAAGTCATTTTTTAAAATAAAAATAGTTGTCATAGTTTAACTTGAATTTAGTAAATGATAATTTTATTTTAGTCATCAGTGGAGCACTAGTTAGGTAATCTCTTAACCCTTTGAGGCACACAAACATAAATCTTCATATTTTTTTAAAATTGAGAAACTAAATATGTTGCATAGGTTCTAAGAATGGGAAAAATACATTTAAAAAAAAATCTGATTCATTGTACCACAAAGGGGGTGGTGGTTTCGGTGGTTAACCATTGTCCACACAGAACATTTTCATGTGATAAAAAAATATTATCTTTTTTAACTTTTTTTACAATATATTTTCACTTTTCAGAAATCAAACAATGAACTTCAATACTAAAATAATTTATATAATTTTAAAGACCAAAAAAGGCAGAATAAATTTGTTTCAGATAAGAAGTTTGAGGTAATAGACTTTATTTTTAATAGAAATAGACATATTGCTCTCCATTTATAAGCCCCATGCAAGAAAAAAACCCTAATAAATTTTTACCCACTTCACCATATGACTAGGGGCACAGTGGCTTCACTCTGAAACCAAAAAAAAAATAAAGGTAAAAATTAAATACTTTTCTGTTGGGAAAAATTTGTGTGTCAAAAGGAGCTCATAAACAACAAATCTGAGTGATATACTTCAAAATTTTTTTGTGTTTTATTGAGTAAAAAAAAAAAACTTGTAGTAATGAAAAAGGGCCTTGAAAACTTTTTATTTTTTTCAAAGGAAGATATAATCTAAGTGTAGTGCTGCTATCTGGTGATGTTTAGAAAAGTTAAAATAATGCTTTAAAATTATTGATTTCGGAGATTGACCACTGTGCGCTTAGGAATAATTTTTTGAAAAGTGCGGTTTTGCTGTCGTATCACTGTACTTAAAAGACAAAACCTCATTTAATACTCTTCTTTGGCATTCAGTAAAAAGTGATAAAGGTTCTACATATTTAATGACATATCTTTGTGGTGCACGTATCACAGGTCCATACTGCAGCTTGTTATTCACATCTCTGCAACAGATAGTGTATGTGTCGTTCAAAGTTTTTGGAGTATCTAAAACAACAGCAGGATAAAAGCAAGTTGTATTCAGGTAAAGGGCAAGAACAACAGTACCAACAGGAAAAATAGCTTCAGGATTAGTTTTGGGATCTGCTCTATAAAGTGGAAGAGGTATAACCACTTTTCTTTCAACAAGATAGTGTGGGTAAGCAATATTATCCATGTCAACAACTGTATATAATGCATTTTTATTATTTTTATATCTTCTGGACTTTCCTGTTTTCACTAATACACGGGCCAAAATCCAAGAGCCTATGATTCCAAACTCTTCATTTGGTGGTGGGATATCAACTGCGTCCTCATTAGAATCATCATCAGGATTAACGCCACTATATTCATCGCTATTAGGATTCACTGATCCAGGTAATACATAAGCAGCAACATATTGACCAGGCTGAAAAAAAAAGTAAATAGCAAAATACTTTTTGAAATATAGGATTAAAAAAAACATTGAATACATCTAGACAACAACAAACATCTAAAGAACTTTTGATCTAATGATTTCGTTTTTACAAGCTAAAATGCTATATTTATAGTTTTAAGAACCTGCCTAAGGTATGCTAAATAGAAAACTACCAACTTAAATTATTACATACTGTTATTACATGGAAAAGTGTTCTTAATGTGATGAAATTAATTGAAATTTATTCAACTTATTTAAGAGCATACTAATGTGACTTTAGCTATAAGGGAAAAGTGAAGTTCCATTATAAGGAGTCTCAATGTTCTTTACAGAGCAATGGGGCTCCTTAAAACTTATGAATATTTTTTAGTTTATATAAAACTGTAATTTTTGCTATTATTGATAAAATTTCCATTATAACTTTTAGTATGATACTAATGTTGCATTTCTTTTTAAATATGTAGACTGATTACAGTGATTTAAATAAGAAGTTAAATCAAACTACTTCATTTATAAAAATTATCAGTGTTTATGAAATGAAATTATTTATGTAGCAATTGAAATGAAATTATTTTGCAATTTTTTTCATGTATTTAAAAAAAAGAGTAAATAAATTTAGGAAAAACATTGGAAAAATTATTAGAACAAGTTTAATATTTCACTGCTAGACATGCTAAGGGCTAAGTAGCTAAATATTCTATTATGCCAAATTTTCCCCCCTCTATTAATAGAATGTTTGATTCATAAGGGTATATAATAAAAGAATTAACACTAAAAAGTTGAATTAGAATTATGCATGAGAGTTTTCTTAACTGCGTCATATTAAATTAAGTTCTATCCCAAGTTAATACAAGGCAACTACTATACAAACACCTTAAATCGTTTCAATTTTTTCCCCATAAATCATAATTTAATATTTTTTAAATCCATTGCAACAAATATTTTAAGAAAATTTTTATAGGATAAAAATACAATTATGTTTGAGAGGATTTATGATCTTCGAACTAAGATGTTTCATATATTGTAACATATAAATCATATATTGTAACATATAGTGTAACATATAAATAAAATGGCCTAATACTATTTTTTAAAGTTGTCAGCACATTTCTATGGCCAGAAAATTGGGAAGGTTCCTTAATTAAGAAATAAATTATTTATTTTTTCATCATTTAAAAGCATTTACTTGTAATATTTCTTTGTTATCCTTTCTTAATATTATTCTCTACTATTGTTATGATTTGATATTTTACTTTTATTACAAATTAAAAGTGGTATTCTTTTATTATAAAGTAATCTTTAATATCACCTTATTACATATCGTTTCATAAAACATTGAAACATTTTAAGAAAAATATATTAAAAACAGTATGTAACTTAACTATTTTGAGATTACTAAAAAGCAAATATTGCACCATGGCAAGAAAAATGTCATAACTCTAAAATGCAACATTCGAGAAAAATCAACTTAAAGAATACAATAACCCTTATTCTGAATGAAATTCAAAACTAGCACAACTGACCTCGACTTGATAAATTGCGAGTTAGAGATGTAAGACTTTTTGAGCTTGATGGGACACTTTATACATATTTTTTTATTGACATAACCTCAAAATTGCTGTTTTTAGAATTGTGTCATTTTTCTAGCAAGGGTGTGATAGGTTATATTTACTTTTACAATTAGCTTCATATAAAATTATTTCCAGTCAAAACTGTTATCAGGAGTCAACTTCACATAATACTACTGAATAATCTGGCAAAAAACATTCACTAATTTTAAAGTAAGCAAAAGTTGAATAGAAATTTGAAACAAAACGGTATGCAATCATAACCGAACAAAATGATTAATGATAAAATTTAAGTTTAAATTTTATTCTAATAGACTATAATAAAAAAGATTTGATCTTTTAATTGAGTTAGATTACATTTTTCATATACTAAAAATCTGTCTATCCTTAAGAAATAAAAATAATAGTGTAACAATCTGAAAATTAAAAAAAAAATTGTTATATTGCAACAAAACAAGCATAACCAAATATTTAACTCAGGGATCCAACGCAATTTCAGAAAAAAAAATTCCCTAACTTTTCCAGGTATATCAGGTAAATTTCAATGGAAATCGAAACCATATTTTATCTATACCATGCAATTTTTCATCAGAAACCTCTGATTTTTTTAAATTTGTAATGTCAAACATTTGATTTTGTGAGCAAAAATGTATAATAGAATAAGAATGGAAAACATACAAAAGTTTCACTAAAAAGTGGAATTTCATAAAATAATTGTAATAGATGATAGAATCATTTAACTCGAATCTCGATAACTGATTACTGTTATTGACAATTCTAAGATTGGCCATTTTCCAGGTATGATATAAGAATTGTCCATTTTTTTTGTAGTAAAAATTGCAACTTTTCCTGATTTTTCCCTGCTTTTTAGAGTTAAAATAAAATTTTCTGACAGTTCCAGGTCTTCCCTGTTCTATCCGACCTGCAGGAGACCAGTTAACCATTTATGTTAGAAGCAATTCATGCATTCTTATTAGATAATCAGAAATAAAAATTTAAAGTATTTCTGCAAAAACCTGTTTTTTTTTTTAAATCAAAAACCTGATAAACTCCATGTTTTTTAATTAAAAAGAATCAAGGTAGGCTGAGATTTTTTGAAAAAATCCCAGTTTTTTACAAACCCTGTTTATTACAGGGTTGTTTACTTTTTAGCACAATTGGGAATTTTAAAAAATGATACTGCTTTTTATAAATTTACAGTTATTAATAGAATTTTGCACATAGTTATTATCATTATACACAGTTTTTTAGAAATAGTTTCTGTTATGGATTAAAGTTTAAAATTTTTTTTGTTACTTCTTTTCTTAGGGCTTAATTTCATTACTATAAGCATGTGCACTACCAGTAGAACTAAATTACCTTAGAAATACTCCCCTTCCTAAAAAAAGCAGATCTCTTCCATGTGCAGTATCCTCTTGTCCCCGCCCTATTCTTTTCTCTTAGAATGACACCCTTTCTTCATGGAGTACCATTCTCAGCAAGAAAGAATTTATAATAAAAGAACCAATATATTAATGAAAGGACATGATTTCTTCCCTTTGCCTTGCACACATCCTTTCTTGTCTCTCTAAAATGCTCTACCCTTGATGCATAGTCCCATTATAGGCAATAAAAGAACGACTTTTTATCTTTAATATTTCCGTAAGACTGGAAAATTGTTTCCAGCGATTATAGGGATATAGAAAATTAAGGACTTTAAAAAACCTTGTACCAAAATTGAATATTTTTAAGGGTCCTTTTTTCTAAAACATAAATTAAGCAGTTTCTACGGACCATGGGAAACCTCTGATTGGAATGAATAGTCCCTTGAGAAACAATTAAGGTTCTACTGCACAAACTCCATAATTTTAATGATCTTGAAAATATAATTATATTTACAATCAGGGTAATAACTTAGTTTCTCACTTTAAGCAGACTGTCATCTTCGGCAGGAATAGCTCCAACCAGTCGAGGAGCAGTTTCATTTATGCTACCCATCCATACAGGAATCAAAGGTGAGAGCTCCAAAAATAATTTATAAAAGTCTGAATTTGAAACACCTAAAGTAATTGAAAAACAAAATTACAATAGGTCTAAAAGAATCTATTTAAAATATTTATAACATAATATTTGCCTAAGTTATCGGTTTTTTAATGATAAAAATATAAACATTATGTTGATCAAATTCACTTATTCAGAGAAAATAAGTTTTTGTGTCTTATTTCGTCACTAAAAATATCTTTTGTACTTATTAATTAGCATATTTGAGGTCACCCCTTAAACCATTGAGTCTTAGAATGTGAAGATCGAATCATTAGATATACAGTTATTTAGGGTGGTTCGTTTTTTTATTTTGCGCACTGTACAATCTTAACCTTGACAGGAACTGGTAATTATAGAATTTTGCCATGGCTTTTTTCTTAATTTTAAGAAAATAAAACTTCGAAATTCGGACCAGCCATGGTTTCACAACATGCCCTGACTACTTCACAGGATCTGCCATGTTCCAGTTTTTTATTCTAGCCAATATAATGGTGACTAACTACTCCGTTAAATGCTGAAAATTTCTCTTAAAATTAAAGAAGTTTATACAATTTTCCAAGCGTATTTTTTTTGGAGTTTTAATTTTAATATATATATTAAAAAAAAAAAAAACTCAACCATGTGTCCTCTCAAAATTTTCTTTCATGTTATGCCTATGTATACAAAAGATTAAAATGCAAGGGAAACAAGGAAAGAAATAAAATAGGAAAAAAAATTTAAAGAAGGAAAAAATAATAAAAATATTATAAATGAAAAATTAGTCAAAATTTGAACAATAATGACGAAAAGATATATTCTTGTCATTAGCTTACACAATTATCTTTTGATACATGATGCTTTCTAATACTGTATTAATAAAGCCAACAAGGTTGAATTAAGGTATAATGGGATCTGGGGTTGATGTGTAACTTGGGGTCTAACCTGTGCCTATAAATCAAAATCAAATGATCAAAATGTGCCTATATTCAGAAATTTCAAAACTTTTTATGAAATTCAATTCCAGTTAAGCTTGCTTTATAGAAACTCAATTAGAAAAAGAAGATAATAGATTAAATTAAAGTTTCGGGTGAATAGTACACTTAACCAATACAACTAAATATAAAATTTTGTTCTGTTTTCTGAATTCTACACTTAAGATATATAATACACTTTTAATTATTTTAAAAGATTGTAAAACATTATGCTTGATAAAAGCTAAAAATGTTTTACAAAATTTAAAAAAAAAATTAATTTTACCCTCATAAACTTTAAAGAACTCTTGTGAGGCTATAAAAATAACTTGGGGTTTGGGGTTATAGCCCCACTAGCCTCCCTCCTAATCCAGTCCTGATAGCCAAAACAAAATATATCAATATAATAGCATGAAGAGGTATAGGGGGATGAGAAACCAATTCGAAAATAATGTTTAATCAAGTAAAATTCACAAAAAATTCAAGAAAAATACAAAGTAAAACACAAATTGGAACATACAAGAACATTATAAAGCGAGAAGGCAGAACGGAAGTCATGTACTTACTAATGCTTTGCAAAAATGATTTATATATACATTTTGCAACTAAATTGCCAGATTTAAATTTATGAAACTAAAGCGTAAATTTCATATTGCAATTTAAAGTTTAAGTAGGTAGTGGGATATATTTTCATGGCGCATTGAAACTGAAGTAAAAAACCACATTTGATTAGCCTGTTGTTGCTTGTCTTGGACCAATCCAAAATAGCTGCCAAATTGAATGCAGTTCTTTACTTTAATACACAATTCCTTACTTCTTATATCTATCACACAATAATTGGAAAAATAGAGCTTTTTGCAAATTGCTGACATCACTTCACATTTTCCCTACAAGGATCACAGTTCTAAGCCTAAGAAGTAATGTTGACAGTTTTCAAAGAGCCATATTTTTCAATTAGCCTAAGACCTATGTATAGTAATGGTATTAAACAAACTTATTTCTTATGAATGCAACTTTTGGCACACAAAGTAAAAAATTTCACCTCATCAATTGCTTGATATGTTCACAATAAAATATATTGAAAAAAAAAAACATTTTTTAAATACATAAGACTTTTCTCTGATTACTTTCATTAAATAAGTTAACTTTCCTAAAGAAAATATTTTACTAATATTTAAATTTATAAATTCTAAATATAAATATTTGCTTGCTATACAGTTGATTTTGACTTAAATAGTTATTATTAGTAAAACTATATTTAAAGGTTTTATAATACAGTAGTTTGAATTATGATTATTTTCTACATTCAACATTGAATCATTATTAATTTTTTAATTTTAAATGTTTCTGATTTTAAACTTTGAATTGCAATGCATAAATTAAAGTTAATTAACACAACATAAATTCAAAATATCAAAAAATTAAGAAATGTTAAAAACATATGAATTAAAAAAATAGTCCTTTACTAACAGTTTTTTCTAGCAACATCTGCAATCACATCACTGCAACTTTTTTCTTGAATGGTGTGTATTTCCTTCAACACAGAAGATACTTCTTTAATTTCTGCACGTGATAACTTTATAAGCTCATTAATAATATCCATCTCACGTTCATGTGTAGCAGTTATCCGATTAAACAACCACTTGGTAATCAGATTATCAATTCTACCATAGAGAGTTGAATTATAACCATTTTCCATCTGTCAAATTAATAATAAAAAATAAATAAAATGAAATAAATAGAGAATTAAGACTTGAAAAACTTCATATTTATTAAAACATGGTACATTTAAACTGGGATTTAAAGTATTTGTTATTGTTAAATGAAAGATTAGATTTGGGAGGACTGTCAGTAAGTGAATAAGATAAAAAAAAAACATTCTTCAAATTTTTTCTCATACTTTGACTGCTAACTTTTTTACAATGATATATTTTTATTAAATCTTTTGCAATCAAATGATTAAAAAAACCTTTCTACAAAGAAATCATTTTTGTAAGTTTCAATAATAAAAGGGTTTTTGTATAATGAAATTTAACTATAAAACTTACAGTAAACACCTGGACACTTAAATGATTAAAGATAAACATAGTAAACATGTCATAAAATAATTATCATCTGATTTAAGACAACAACATTTTTAAACTATTATTAAATAATAATAATCTTTTCAAATCACATCAACATTATTAAATCATGTTAAAAAATGCAATGTAATATATTGATATGAAATAAAACTTTACACATGTTGAAGCCACTTGGATAGCACCCAAGATATTACGATATTTATTCTCGAAAAATGCTTCATACTGTAAAACAGCAAAAAAAAAATTACAGCAATTGTGAAGTCTCAGTAATGTTATTAGAAACAGATGCTTTTCATGTATTGGGTTCATACACTGCATAAGCTAGAGATTTGTTTTCATAGTTTCCATTCATTCTCCAATTTAAGTATAAGAACTAAAAATGCTTGCTAAAACTATCTAATTAATGATAATTTTCCAAATAAAAAACTGAAGATTGAGGTTATCCTGGAAGAAATTTCAGGCATTAATATTAGATGTGTACCCCTTTTTTTCTTGCAAATGAAATTAATAATCTCCTGAATCTTTGAAGTGAAACTAAGCCATTCAACTACTGCAGGTAAATACTAAAAGATAATTGGTTCTAAAAAGTTTTTAAGCTTAAGTTTAACTAGTTTTTATTAAAATTTTTTTAGATATGCCTTTAAGAAACATGGATATGATGAGAATCATCCAGATAAATTTCAAAAGGCAGTTCAAATTTTATTTTTATATTGAACAGATAATTGTTACAAATGTTTTAGCAAAGAACTAATAAAATGTACTCACTGGCATAAATTACTCTGTATATAACATGAAATATATATATATATAACGTCGTTGCCGAGTGGAAGGATTAAAACAGGTCTTAGGCCGGGAAGGAGGGTACAAAATTTATTTATTAATTATAAGACAGAGCAGTCATGAAAGTGTGTAAAAATGTACACGAAAAGTTGCACTCCTTGGTTATATGTTAGGGAAAATCTTGCAAAGTAAAATACGTAATAATATGTCTTAATTTAGGGAAAGAGGGAAATCTTAGTAGTTGCTATTGGTTTATGAAATAGATAGAGCGTTTCCCACAGAGAGGAAAGGGAAAAATGTCCTGCTTTTAATTAAATGCATACTTGAGCCAAAAATAGATTTAAGAACAGGATGTGGCTTTTAAAGTGTGAGAAAGTATTTCGATTAGAATAATTAATTAGGATAACATAAAAAGATTAATTGAAGCTCTTTATGTTACACACACACACACATATATATATATAAAGTCAGACTTCGATATAAGGTCACCCTAAGGGACATCGCAAAAGTGACCTTATAAGCGGGGTGTCCCTTTAACCGANATCTTTAGGAGTATTAGATCTTTCACTTCCATATAAGGAAAGATTAAACGATTTGCTATGAGTAATAAATAATTTGATGAGGCGTAAGAACACACCGAAAAGGCAATAATGACTAGCCTCTTCACAACTTTTAATCATCCTATAAAACTCAGGAGCAATATCTTTGCGGGGCTTTCTGTTGTTTATCATGCTTAAATAAAATCCGTCAGCTTAGACGGGACATGGGTCTCCCCTCATCTCCAGCTTGTAGGGGGCTAAGATGTATGCTTTCACCATCGCTACTAAATAAAAAAGATTATGCACAATATGAACTCGTTAATCTTGCTGCTTTGACTGTAAATAACTAAAAAATAACGGTGTGGTTCCACCGTTTTATATTATTTTATTATTTATTAATTATAAGACAGAGCAGTCATGGAAGTGTGTAAAAGTGTACACAAAAAGTTGCGCTCCTTGGTTATATGTTAGGGAAATCTTGCAAAGTAAAATACGTAATATGTCTTAATTTAGGGAAAGAGGGAAATCGTAGTAGTTGCTATTGGTTTATGAAATAGATAGAGCATTTTCCACAGAGAGGAAAGGGAAAAATGTCTTGCTTTTAATCAAATGCATACTTGAGCCAAAAATAGATTTAAGAACAGGATGTGGCTTTTAAAGTGTGAGAAAGTATTTCGATTAGAATAATTAATTAGGAAAATGTAAAAAGTTTAATTGAAGCTTTTTATGTTACATTCGCCCTCGCCAAAAAATTTTAATTGGAATCCAAAAATTTTAAAAATTATTTTCTATTTGCAAAACTTTCCCTGTGATAGAAGCACAGTCAAAATGAAATGAATAAATTCTGTAATTTTAAGATCTTTCACTTCCATATAAGGAAAGATTAAACGATTTGCTATGAGTAATAAATAATTTGATGAGGCGTAAGAATACACAGAAAAGGCAATAATGACTGGCCTCTTCACAACTTTTAATAATCCTATAAAACTCAGGAGCAATATTTTTGCATGGCTTTTTGTTGTTTATCATGCTTAAATAAAATCCGTCAGCTTAGACGGGACATGGGTCTCCCCCCATCTCCAGCTTGGAGGGGGCTAAGATGTATGCTTTCACCATCGCTACTAAATAAAAAAGATTATGCACAATATGGACTCGTTAATCATGCTGCTTTAACTGTAAATAACTAAAAAATAACGGTGTGGTTCCACCGTTATTACATATATATATCACAGTAAAAACCTGACTATCCAGAATTTGACAAACCAGAAAGTTCAAGTAAATGGAATTTTGAGAAATTTATATAAAAAATATGAAACGGAAAATGAGGTTAAAAGAAATACTTAGGATAGTGTTTTGAATTGATTGATAATTTCTTTTACTTATATTTAACAGAAAAACAAAGTGAGAACAAGAAAAGGAAATAACAAGCAGATTTAGATTAAATGCAGTAGGTTTTTCCATTCCTTGCATTTTCTTCCACATTGCAATTTCACTTTCAGAATTATTTGTGTTTTTATTGGAGTTTATATCATGGTGCTGCATTGTTTAAGATTGTTTTAGATAATTTTTTTTTTAAATTTTATGTTCATTTCTTTTTCTTAAAATGCAAATAAAACTTAAAATCCTTTAAAGTTTTAAGAATTATGAATAATTTTTTAAAATTAACTATTGTTTTTATCCATGTTTTTGTAATGGCAAGGCATTTCTTAAAGATCATTTCAGATAGGTTTTTTTCCTTAATCATTACATTTTCCCAAAAATACAATAAGAGAAAAAAGCAATTAGTGTTAAAGTTTTGTTTTGAGAATTAACAACAGTTGTTTTCTTTATGAACTATGCTTTTCATTGGCTATATTGTTACAGCGCAACATTTTAAAGAGTATTTCTAAAAGATTTTATCTATTTTTTTGTCACTTATTCATGAAACTACATTTTCACTCATCTTTTTTTCTTTTTTCGTACTTAATTTTAGTTTTTTCAAATATTTTTAATAATCCTTATAGAAAACTATTGAAGTTTTTTTCTCTGTTTACCAAAATTTTTAAATTTTTTATTTAAGTCGACTGGTATAAATTTTGAATTAAGACGCAACATTTTCTCACCTAAAAATAAGGTAAGTTTACAAAATCCATATTTGCATATCCAGTTTTGCATATCCTGGAATTTGCTAAACTTTGGAAGATTTGAAATTCGATAGCAAAAAAAAAAAAGGATAATTTAAAAATAATAAGCAGAAAGTATTACAAAAGATTATCTAGATTAACAAATGGTTTTGAATAGGCAACTTCTCAGACAAAAGATACACATATGTGCTTTCCCATTGCAACGTCAGAATGGCAGCAATCGTTTAACAAAATGAAAATGATTGCTGTCATTCTCCCCGACATACTGCTTATTATATCAAGGTTTTATGTTATACTCGGTGCCATTCCCTTGTTAGTCATTTTGTTTGCTGATGGAAGAAGATACAATTAAGAATTCACTTAAATAATTTTAACACAACATATTTTAAACTTAAAAAAAATATATATATATATTTACCTTTTCGATAAAATCCCTGCAAAAGTCAAAAACTTTTCTTACAGACATTTCTGTATTACCATAAGGACAGAAATTCAAAAGTTTTTCATCAACTATTGGTTTCCAGAATTGCTATTGAATTACAGTAAAAATTTCAATTAGTATTTGAAAATTATTTTTTAAATCTTATTTAATATTTTTTTAAATGAATTTAAAAATTTTTAAAGATAAAATAGCAGTTTGGAGTAGAAAAATGTGTTTGATGTAAGTAAATTTGGTTATTGGAGTAAATAATTTTTACATTCAGAATAGCTTAGTGCTTGTAAAATTAAATTTTTGTGCATATAAATTTAACAAAGCTGGGGAAAAAATTCATTACTTAAGATAAAGAATGTAACAGAAATGCAACAAAGAATTTTCTCTAAATGAATATATAACTAAAAAATTAATGGGTTTCCCTAAGAAATAAAATCTGAATAAAGCTATGATCATATTTAAATGTGCTTTTTAAATAATTAGATAAAAGAAACATGCTAATATTTGAAAAAACTAAATAAAAATCCTTATTCAGATGCAACTTTATTTACAATCACGAGGGCTAGGAAATTGATGAGCTAAAAAGGTCCTTAAAATATGAAAAAAAAAAATGCTTCTAAAAATCATAATATATTTTAAATTTTCAAGAAAATATTTTTCTTGATTTTTTTAAAAATTTAATAAAAAATAAAGTAATTGTTAGAATATAATGTAATTTATAAATAAAATGTAATAAATACTTTATAAAGATAAATAAAAAGTAATAATCTTTAGTTACAATATTCAAGGACATCAGAATTCTACTCATACTTTTTAATATTTTTAAAAACAAAAAAAGGGCTACAGTCAAAAAGCAAATTCCTACATCGTAAAACACTCCATTCAACACTAACACTTGGTATTGGAGCATATTTAAAAGATTAACCAACTGGAAATGTCTTTTTCTATCTAAAATTTTTCCTCTTTTTCTTTAATTAAAATGTTTAAAAATTGATTCAAAGTGTAAACCCTAAATTTTTTTTGATAAGGTACTGAAATTTAGTGATAATTTTCATTTCATTTCTTGCTTTTAAAAATCACAAATTGTCTGAAACAAAAATATCAAGCTTTGGCTTCATAAAAGTTAACTTTGCTTCACTTTTCTCATTAGAAAAAAAATCTTAGGATTAATCAAATTGATTACAGAAATATGCTTTCGAAAATTTATTTATGCTTGAAAGTCATTTCCAATGCTCACAATATTTTAATTTGAAGACTTTCAAAAGAAAATTATTGAAATATATTAGAGTAAAAAAAAGAAGGAAATATGAATAATGCCTTATAAAAGAAAATGAAACCAAAAATACAAAAAAGAAACTTCTCACTATTCTAGCCCTGACCATCACAAACATAATTAATTATAAATAATATATTACATTATCAAAGCAGCGGTCATTAAGGATGAAAGGATGGGTACCCCCTTAACCTTCGGATGAAAAATTTCTGTCCTACATGCCTTTAGATTCTCATTATGTGGCCAATCTATTTAAAAATAATAATAATAAAATAAAATGATCAATTGTATACTTCGTTTCACCTGAAGTTGGCACTATAGGGAAAGGTAGGAAATGTAATACTACGCTTTGAAAAGTAGTTCTTCGTTATTTTGGAATTAAGTACAGTTTAAATGTGCATACAATTATAAATAAATGTTGTATAATAAGAAAAGTTTATCTTGAAACATGCATTAGAAGTTTTATCATGTTTAGATGTATTTAACTTATAAATACCTTCTCAGGCAAGCAAATGTACAAAGAAGAGGGAGGTGTTTTAGTTTAATGATGAATTAGTTTCCGAGGGCAAGGAACTGGCACGTCAGCTATATTTTTGCACTGGTCAAACAGCTCGCATCCCTAAATTTTTCCTTACTTTTTATTAGTAATTAACTGCTAATTTGTTCTTTGGTAGTTATTTATAGTTGGCTTGTATTTTTTATAGTTATTAATTTTTTGTGATTCCTTGCTGATTTTTTTGTTTATGCTAATTACTAAAGATTAGTTTTTTTTTGTTAGTTTGTTTTTGTAGCTATTAATTAAGCCTTATATTAGATTCTTAAAGATTTGAGATTTTCTATCGAGAAAAGGAAAATGCAATCGTTTCTTATAGAGAGTTTTTTTTTAGGTAAGTTCTTTTGTTTCATAGAAGAAAATATATTTCAGAAAAAAAGTGACTTTTTTATTTGAAAAAATGAACATTAGAAATTATAAAACATACGAATGATCTTTTTCATGATCAATGAATTCATGCCTATGTTGACTTTTCCTTCTGCCACTAAATACCAATGTGGGATAAATTAATATACATAAATCTATAAAAAAAAGGTTGCATACAAAAATAAGTATCGAAAGTAAAGTATTTGTGAGCATCTGTGTATTTTTTTTTTACTCAGATTTAATTAAATTATTTTTTTAAATATAATTTTGTTTAGATTAAAATTAGTTTAGCTTAGTTCAAAAATAATAATAAGAATAAATTTTTTAAAAATCATAATAAGAAAAGTCTGTTTTTTAAAAATCATAATAAGAAATCAGCTTACAATTAGTATTTCAAATCAATTATTAATATAAATGTTCCAAAAAAATAGTGTTTTTTTTCCTTGTATTTTGTTCAAAATATTAGTAGTTCTTGGGGAAAAAAATTGGAGCTTTGTTTTCTTTAAGGCCAATATTAGCCATTTTCTCTAATTTTTTGCAATCTTATGCTCCAACTAACTTAAAGCATAACTCAGTTTCCATGACAATGGCTGCCATCCGGTCTACCTGCCTTTCTGTCCAGTGCCAACTTGAGGTGAAACGGAGTATAGGCAATTTTCTTGCATATCCAAGCAGTTTTCCAACCTGTTTTTCAGCAGTTATATATTGTTTTTTGGTAATTTTAAGTAGGTTTTCTAAATTCCAAGATTTTTAACATACTATTACAAAAAGCAACTTCTGAATTTCATTATTAATTTTTTAACACTTTCAATTCAAAGCAAACCATCGTAAAACCACATAAGTTAACAAACACTTTTTTCGGTAGTTATTTATCTATTTGGCTATTTCCACATGGTTTTCTTCAAATTTTGATATTTTTAATACAGTATATTTAAGACATGCAAATTTTGTATTTGGGTATTCCATAGATTTAATCAAAAATCCACTTCTTTTTTCTTTCTTAGGCTATTTGTGCAAGGTTTTTCAAATTCGATAGCTTTTCAATTAATATGATATTATTACAACTCATCAATTTCAGTTTTGAGTAATAAATCACTATATGTTAACAATTCATTAAAAAATCAGTTTTTGACAAGCTTGATTCCATTGTAATTCCACTTTGTTACATAAAAACTATAAAACAAAATTTAGAAAAAAACTTTTTCTAAATTTTGATGTTTTAAGTACAACATTACTACAATACGCGAATTTTGAAGTTTAGGTATTTTTAACACGTCTTATTGCGAGGATTCTACTGTAAGTCGATGTTGCTTATTTATTGTTTCTTTCAAATCTTTTCTAATTCAGATGTTTTTGATAAGATGCTATTATAGCAAGTTAATTTTGAATTTTAGAAGTCACAGTTTGATTTGATGAGAAAAAAAAAATGCCAAACTTGTTTAGCATCTAAGCAAATTAATCGGTGAAAAAAAAGTTTTGGAGCAATATAACTGATTTTTAAGCAGAAATTTGGTGCCAAATGAGGCCAAAGCTGTACTTTTTGCTCAATGAATATTATTAGAGTTTTGGAGCAAGTTGGCACAATGTTAGGGAAAAAGAAACTACATTTGGAAGCTAACTGGAGCAGAAATTATTTTTAGGAACAGTTTGGCAGCTGTTTCAACCCTATATATTTTTTATTAACAAATTGAAAGAGCAAGAATTTAACTTACATAATAAATTACATAATAAATTTAATTATAAATTGCATAATGAAAAAAATTAAAGAAAATATGAATTAGTGCAAAAGAGCTTTGAATAATTTTTAAGTTTTAAAAAAGGATAAAAAAAAAAAACTAAATTTAGAACATATAAGTGCAAGTAGGTATAATTAATTGTATCCTTTCCAAAAATTTGCATTATACCAATAATTTCAACTAGTTAAAAGATCCAGCTCTTGGAGTATACTTTAAAGTAACAAATTCTGAAACAGATATGTATGGAACTTTTTATAAAAATATACAGATTTAATCAAATCAAATTTAAAAGTGTCACTCACAAGCAAAGAGTATCCTGGAGATAAAATAAAAAATACCAAGTAAATAAAGAGCTTTTTGAAAACTTTACCCATCCTAGTACCAAAAAAAAAAAAAAAAACTAAATAAATAATTTAAAAAAAATAAAAATATTTTTATTTTATTCATTATCAATCATTAGACAAAGCTATTAAAGTGTTCAGGTTTTATTTTCCACACAGTAAAAATATTCAGAGTGCACTCCATACATTTGAAATGTTCATGTACATCTTAAAAATAACATAACTGATTGAACACAAGAAAATTAAATCACTGGTGAATCATATATAATATTCGTAGGGTTGGCCTGAGAGTAAAGGGACCGAGGTCATCTTAGACCTTGAGCTCGAGTTACGAACTTTGGGGCTTTTTTCTTTAAATAAGTTTTATGTAATTATTTTATATCATTTTAAAAAACCACTTTTTTATAAATATTTTTTTCCACAGATTTAAATATATTTTTGTACGGTTTACAAGTAAAACAAGGAATTTTCGGAGTTCACATTTCTGTGTCTTTTCCTCTTCAGTGATATTAATCATAAAAATTAAATAAAAAAACAAACAAAATAGTAGCTTTAAGGTGAAATATTTTTAGTATTCAGAAATAAAAGCAATGACTTCTGTTCTAACCTTTTCATTCATATAGACATCAGTTTAGGGGGGGGGGATTGAAGATACACAATTTAAGGGTAATGCACTAGAAAACTTAGAGTGAAAAATTATATGAAGTATATTATGTGGATGGGAATTATATAGTACTATGTCCAAGTATTATGCGGTATGCCCAAAGTCAAGCATTTTTATAGCACTAGAAGGTCTTGCATCAGTGATAATCAGCGACATATTGTAT